CTAAATAATCATCAAGGAGCTGAGCATTTTCTCTTTCAGCTTGTTCTCTTGCTATTTGAGCAGCAGCTTTGGCTTGTAAATAAATAATATAATATCAGAGTTTAGATGGATGTACTATTGTAAGAATTATAGAAAAATGAAAGGTAAAAAGAAATTTAAATATACATATACAAATGCATATTTTCTCACGATCGTCATGCAGATCAGCATAGCGTACATGCTTAATTATATCACAATTTGCCAATCTTTTTATCGATCTTTTGCCGATCATTATTTCATTTTATCACATAAATAATGCTGTAAATCAATTAATTTTTTAATTAGCTCCGATTGTAAAATTATACATAATAATATATGCTAATTTTTTACAAGTTGCTTTATATAATTATAAAGAAATAAAATACTGAATTTTATCGAAAAATAATTATTATTGAGTAAGTTTTACTAGAAGTATCATTTTGCAAAAATCAATGTAATTTTTATATTAATTAGCTCCGATTGAAAAATCTTACATAATAATATAAGCTGATTTTTTGTTTGTAACTTTATATTAATATAAAGAAATATAATACCAAATTTTATCAAAATCTAATTATTATTGAATAAGTTTTACTAGAAGAAACATTTTGTAATTACATAAAAAAAAAAGTAAAATCAATGTATTTTTTATGTTAATTGTCTCTGATTGAAATATTTTACATATAATATATACTAAAATTATACATATAACTTCATAATATATAGCATAATAAAAGTATTAATTTTATAAAATAGATTTACAATTTAAAAATAATTAAAATTTAAAATTTATTAAATTCTATCATAATTTAGCCATTTTTGATACATTATATTGTATTGATTTTCTATATTATATTCTGTTTTTTCTAATATACTTTCTATAATTTTATTATTATTATTATTATTTTTATCTTCAAATAAAGGAATTTCATTTTCTTTAAAGGTATAAATAATCTCTTATTTAAACTTTTAATATTTCTTTCTATTTCAAATGAAATGTAATTAAAAGAATAAGAACACTTATCATTAATAGAGTATTAAAACATTTTTTATGAAAATTATGTTACAAATTAAGATAATTCTATTAGATAATTCTATATAATTTGATAATAAGCAACTATCTGCATCACAAAATTTATTATCAGCAGATTTTTTTTGTGTATTCCAAGCTAAAGGAAGTACCTTTACATTTACTTCTATATCAAAACTTAGAAGATAAAATTTTGGATATTTATCATTATTAATTTGCTTTATATTTCCTAAATTATGATAAACCTTATCAAAAATTGATAATAGAAATAATGAAATTTTTCTCTAAGGATTTTAATTTATTAATTTGAGATTTAGCTAGATTTCTTAAATTAACAAATGAATCTTCAAAGATAGAGTTATTATTTCTTTTAACATCAATAATTTTTGCTTTTTGAATAATTTATAATTCTAAATTGAACTTTGAAAAAAAAGTTGCTTTGAAAAAATATTTTTATATGAAAATCTGATTAAATTACCTATTTTTAATTATACGTAAAAAATTGAATTTTCATAAAATAATCAAAATTTTCTTGAAATTTAATTTTTTAAACAAAATGATATTGTACAATTTTATTTGTTATATGATTAACAAATTAGAAAAATATATCTAACAAAATTTTAGATAATCATTTAAAAATCTATATATAATAAAACTTAATGTATTATTTATTTATTTTTTAATTATAAATAAATTACTATATATAGTATAAATAATTTATAATAATAATAATTATTATTCATTAAAAAATCCATGTAAAGAAAGAAAATCTTAATAAAGGATTAACTAATATTTTAGTTTAATTCAGAAAATAATTGTTTTTAATAATCTGATCTAAATCTTATAGAAAAAATATATTAGAAAACTTTTTAATAAAAAAAAAATAAAAAAAAAACTTTAAAAATTACTTTTAAAATAAGTTATATTTGTGATCTAAATTTTAAAAAAAAACAGATAGAAAATGTTAGTAAATATTTTCAATAAAAAAAATTTTAGATAAATTAAATAATCATTTTTTTTATAATAAAATAGTCCACTTAAAATTATTCTTATTTTATTATTTTATATAATCACAAGTATCTTTTGAATATACATGTAATATAAATTCACTTTTTAATATATGTATCATAATATATTATAATATCTAAAAATAAAATATTATTTTAATAAATAATAATAAAATACTTAATTATAAATAAATATAGTAAATTACTTACTTTCTAATTCTTTTATTTTATCAATAAATGATCTTAAAAATAAATTAAAATCTTTTGGTTAATTAGGTCTAGAAATTAAAAAAGGAATTATTAAATTTTCTTTTTTAACTTTAATTAAAAGATCTAAATTATTATTTATTAATAGAAATAACTAACAATCATCAGTTTTTATTTAAATATCTAATATCTATCATAAGATATCGTAAATACAACATCTTATTAATCACTGAATAAACTTTTCTAATAAATCTTTATATATATTTCTGTCAAAAATATCTTCAAATTCAATCTTTTTATTAATAATATATTGATATCAATAAAGTAATTCTTCAGTTCTTATTTTATTATTATATTAAATCTTCCAATTTCTTTTTAATAGAAAGATATAGTATTACTTTTTTAGATTTATTTTTTGAATCATATCTCAATGAATTACATAATAGACAACTTTGATAAATTTTATAAATTCCAATATAACATATACAGAAATTTTCAATAAAATTTTGAAACAAATTCTGTAATTTCTTCTAATATTTTTTTAATCTTAATTAAACTAATATTTTTATTAGCAAATAATTTGATAATATCATTATATGTTACTTTTGTAAAATTATATAATAATTTTAAATGCAAAAGTTTAAAACCTTCTATAATTCTTTACTTAATCCTTCTTTAATATTAACTTGCATCATATTATCTATATCTTCATCTTCATCTTTATTATAATTATCATTATTTTCTTTATCATCAGTTTCATTAATATTATAATCTTCATTATTTTCTTCTAAGATCTTCTCACTTATAGATAAATATTCTATTTCATTTTCATAAGCTGCATAATTTTAAGAGTTTGTCAAAATGCATTCATAAAAATCAAGGAATATAAAAATGTTAGTTTTCCTAAAAAAGAAATTACTTATAATATTTACGTAATTTATACATTAAGAAAGTTAAATGACATAATCAGTTGATTAAAAGTTAATTTCAGATGTGTATCCAACAATTTTCTCATGGTAGATTTCTTAAATATTAGATTTCAATGAATTTTCTTAATATAGAAAAAGATTAAGAATATTATAAATGAAGATCAAATCAATATAATTAAGCCACTAAGTATATAGTTTTATTTACAAAATAATTGACATAAACATATAACTCAGCCACAATTACCAGCTCAACTCGACAAACTACCAGCGAAAAAAATTTCAAGGAAAAGATCAAGTAAAAATAGATACTTTAACCACTACCCAGACCACCCAACTTAAGTCAACATTCGACCTTCTCACAGGTCTTTGTAAAATAACCACTGCTTCAGAAACGCCTTCTTTTGATGAAGATTTTTAGCTTTTAATATATTTATTTTTGTCGTAACAGTTCTTCGCAAGTATTTTGATCAGCTATAAGATATAGCAGTCTGTCTGCCATAAGTAACCTCTTTCTTTCTTCTTCTTGTGCTTGAGTTTACAGGATTGCAAACTGTTCATAAACTTTATTTCTTTATTGTGAACAAAAAGTTCTCATACATTCAATACTTTTTTGAAGATTATTTTATGAATGATTATTAGAAAATATTGTGTTTGAAGATTTGAGGATTTAAATTTTGAATAATTGAATCAATACGCGTAAAGTTATACTTAAGAAAAATAATTTATCATGTGACTTTAGAAAATCATTCAAAATCAAGCTATTTATATAGAATTTTAAATCCCATAATTCTAAAAATTAACAAATTTTAGCCCTATATAATGTTAGAAAAATCTATATTTGTAAGATTGATTGCGGATAGCATGAATACAGCATGCTCTTCTTTGATAGATCACGCATGAATATGGCATGCATTCTGCAAATTCTTCTTGCAAATTTTTAGAAATTGAGAATTTGATTTTAAGGACGAAATTATTTCTCACTATAACGTTCAAAATTCAAGTAGGAAAGGATTGCCAATAAAGCAATTGACCAGTCATAATAAAGTCACGTGAATGACATAGTATGATGATCTTTTAATCTAAAATTCTGAAAATACTGAGAATTCTACGAATTCTAAAAATACAGAAGATCTATATAATTCTAAAGATCTTCCAAATACTGATGATAATCCTAATTTATGAATTAAATAAAGTTTAAGAATATTTAGTGTTATACTTATTTTTAATATAAATTTTATTATTATTATATTTTATATTTTTATTATTTTACGTATTTTTATTATTCTCAATATATTTATTTTACTTATATTTTATTTTACCAAATTAGTTGGTTTGTAGCATAGTAATTAATTAGCTATGATAAAAGAAATTTTGTATAAATAGATAGACTTTTTGCTTATATTATAAATTAACTCTCTTGCAAATACGAGTTTCAATATTAATAAAAGAATTATTTAAAACTTATATTTTTCTGCCTCTTTGTATTTTTATATAGTCTGACGTAATCTTTATGCATTATTTGTAATTGAGTTTGTCATCCGAATTCTTTAATTAAATTGTTCATAATATCGTCTTTCAAGTCTTTATACTTGATAGATTTGTTTAAATCTAACGCGTAAATTTGGTAAAGTTAAGAGTTAGGCAGATCTTAATATCTTAATCGCAGTAAACTGGTTAGAAATTTTGAGTAGAGACTTGATAACATGATCACCCTGAGTTGAAGAATTCCACAGTAACACTATACTAACTTGCTATTAAGTTTATCATTATGAGTTTGACTAATATATCTTAAATTCTAAGATATGATAAATTGTTAAGTTAATTCAAGTATAATGAATACCTGTGTGATTTAGAGAAAATTCTAAGATCACAAACTCTAATGTTGTTAACGTTACTTTTTTTGTTAAATAAGTTAACTATAATTTGAAGTCAGGGAGACAATAGCTATGACTTAAATCCAATCAACTTGACACATTGTTTATTAGAGAGTTTATTTAGTTAACAAGAAATAAATTATAAGTTTTATGTTTGCAAAATATTAAGAGTGTTTATTATTATAAAATGTATATTGAGAACTTGTTGGAATCTGTTTTTTTTCCAAGATATTTTCATGCCCTTTATATAGGAAAATTATAATTAAAGAAAATCTATGGTATTTATGATACTATTGACAATAATAACAGAGCTAACAG